TCCAATTGTTAGCCTATTTGAATCTACTCTCGCTGGATACTAACATCTCTGTACACGCCCAGATAACACAAATACCTTACTACTTACTACTCTAAGAGATGATTTTGGTTGGGGGTTTACGACTACCAACGCGCATTATTATGACCTTCAAGCTTTGGCACACAGATTTAGCGACGACGCGTCTATACCCTGAGCAACCGGATAGTAGACACAGCATTAGACAACGCTACTGACCTCTCACCCACGTCTCCGATTGTCTCGTATTGAAAAATTAAATGGGACCAGCGCAAAACAACTACACGTACGCAGGTTCGGACATAAAATGCCCTGGACATGGCCGGGTTCGATTTGATCAATGAGATCTTCCTTCCTCCATCGTCATCGATCCATGGAAAGCCACTGGAATGTTTGAAGGAGCACTCCTACGCTGTTGTCGAGATAGGACCACAATCTGTAAATATCCCCGAGATGTAAGTGGTCATGAACCTAAGGGAACGGGAAACCCCGTTCATGTAAACGATGCATGAGGTTGCAAAATAAGACCCTGTATCGCATTTCGCCCCAACTCATACGTGCCTTGCTCTTACATGATCCGCGCCAGTGCTGTCGTTATATCCCAGGCAAAGAAGAGAAGCTGACTAACACGGTGGGACTTCATCAATCGAAAAACTTTATCGATTGAAAACACACGGTCATGGTACATAGCGCGTTCGTCATGTGCCGGCCGCCCACCACCGCGGGCCACCGGACACCGCTCGCCGCCCTCAAAGCCTCCGTCCTGCCAAAATGCTTAATCGCCCCATCAATTGGAAGCCACGATTGCATCGATCTTTCGCCGCAGCTGGAGCCGGTATCATCCAACTGGCTGGTGGTCGCCACCTACAGGACCGGGGGGGGCGCGCGAGGCAGGCGTTCGCCCCCCGCCCCCTCCCCCCGCCCCCCCCCGGGACCATGGACCACGCCCGCCACGCTGAAAACCTGCCGCGCCGCCAGTCATTTCGACACCAATTGGCTGCAGTCGCTAATTGTATCGATCGTGAGCCTGCGGCGGGGCGACAGGCGAGATCGTTGGCTCGAAGTTGGAGCGGCGTGGGGCCGGCCGAGACCGTTCTCGTGAATTAGAATATTTCATTACAATTGTGACACGTTGTGGAAATCACGGCTTTCCATGTAAGAGAGCCTCCTCGAAGTCGATAGTGAGTCTTGATTCAGAGCAGCTGGCTGCCGGTCGTGTCAGAAAGCTCCGTAGCCGCCGAAGCATGTGAGCCCGCGCCCCGCCAGACTTGTGCTAGCTGGGCGGGGTACTCATTCATCCATGATGGTTTTATCCGTTTTAGTTTACCGGTTTCACCCCTTTTAAACCTGTCGGTCTGACCCCTTGAACTAAGCCGTTATCATTCGCCTAGCATGCCGGTTTAACCCTTTGACGTCATTTGGGACAGCTATTTATTAATGCTCGTGTCATCCATTCACTTTTTCACCGGTCAACTTGCACCCGTTCCTAACCTTTGGACAAGCCATTTCACCATTGAAAAGGAGCGTTGGTCACGGTGGATATTGCCGTTGTATCTATCCTTGTATGCGTGTGGACTGAGCTTGTGAGAAGCAGGTGCGTGGGCATACTGGGGCGAGTCCGGTGCGTGATGCTCTTATCTAGACAGTGGGGTATATATCTACTTTACTATGCGGTTCCCGTGTGTTGGTTTTGCTCTGCCGTCTCCGTCTCTCATTTCATGAGACCACCTCCGTCTCCGTTTTTTCACTTTTCTTTACCATTTGTCTTTGGTTGTCGGTCTTAAAAGGCAGTCTCATGTCTGTTGTTTCATGAGGCGATTATCTTCGTCGTTGGCGGTCTCTGTACGGTTAATTTCGTCATTCTATTTAGTTTAGATGCACACGCAGTAGAATAGTTGGCATTTGCTTTTAGAACTGATCTAAGTCGTATCTGACAGTATGTGCCCGTACAAATTGAGCCTGCCTTAGCAGGATAAGTGTTGCATGCCAATGTTGCACCAGTTCGGGAAGATGCGTCAGTGTCGCGATGTGATGCGTCGAAAATGCGTCAGTCGTGTGTCACGTGTCGTGCATGTTTCTGCAAGGATCTTTCTTGTGTGTAGGCTCGCGTGCCTCGTTACGCATGCGTTTATCCAAGGACGTGTATAAGACTAGGGCGGTTAAAACCAGCCACGGTATTCACCAACCTATGTTACGATTTTGTCGGGTGGTTCAGGCTGTCTTGAAGCCACTAAAGCGGTGAATACTTTCTCACTTGTTTCGATCACGCGTGTTGAATTTCCGTGGCGCTCGCCGCTCGGAATCGCTTCACCGCTGTTTAGGCTACTGACCTCTCACGCTTGTATTAACTGATGCGGACTATTGGCTTCTTATTGCTGGTAACAGTTGCTATGGGTTTACCTTGCATCATGTGACTTCACTGTCATCAACATATCGTGTGATGATAGCACCTTTCTTTCACTCGAGAACCAATCTAGCAACTGACTCGTAGACTCAGTTGTCAACCCTTCTGACGAACGTGTCCCTGGCTCCGCCATCCTGACGAGAAATGCTGCAATAGGAAGTCACAGAAAAGTTTATCGTAGACCATCAGCGACAAGAAAATCTAGAAGCACGGCATCAAGCGAAGCAGCGTCCCACGCCGTTCACGTTTCCCGCCGCACGGGGAAAGGACCACCAGAATGGGGGTGAAGAAAATGCCTTGCTGTCACCGACGAAATTTGGAAACGTCTAAACTGTCAGCTGGAGTCAAATTTTCAGAAACTGTTGCATGATCACTAAATGCAATAAACCATCAAAACAAAGACATGTCAAGTGCAACGGGCCATACCCATCACACATTTTTATTTCGCGAGTTTATTTGCACCAAAGTATCATTTGCTGGCCATCACGCACAGCATGAATAGCCGAGATCAATTCAGCAAAGTTGTCAGATAAAGGCAAACCCAACATAACCAGCCTAGAGGCGTGTAGATTCCTATTTTGTTGGAGAGGGGTTTGTGCCAGGGACGAAGTTTCCTATTTTTATCACTTTTATCCGTCATTTTTCATTAATCAAAATTCCTGGAGTGTAGCCCCCAAAAACGTTATCTTGAGAAACTACACTCCTACTCGAGCTCTGAAAAGAAAAGTTGCGTAAAATCTGGGAAGAGATCGCTGCTTTAAGTGCATTTCGGAGTAGAGTCACCCCTACGTATTTTGCTAGATCTGCATTCCTGTACACTTACATTTACCGATAGCACGTTTCTACAAGCACCTGAAACAAGGTCACTTTTGGTTTTGTGACATCATCGTACAATCAGCTGTGAGCATTGGCGACCCACCGAGTATCTTTGTATCATCATTACAGGTGTAGATCTTGCATTTCCTGACATAATCTCAAGTAATTTGCGTGGAAACCCCTGCAATATTGGTATCAACAGATACAAATGACATTTT